GTGGGCGGGCAGCGCCGCCGCCGCCGCCGCCGCGGGCAGGAGCGCGCTCTGCGAGCTAGAGGCCTAGCGGGGCAGAGGGCATGGCACTGAGCGCGAGGGAGGCCGATCAGAAGCAGTCAGTAATGCCTCAATCCCAGCATTACCCTAATCCGGTAAGCAGTGTCCTCAAAGGGCAAAAGCTTAGGTGAATGCAGAGGGTTTACAGGCGCAGGGCTTTTAAATGGCAGAGAAATGAGTCAGTCACTTTCAGTTTATTGAAAAGCCACTTTACATTTCCCGAGGTTTCAAAGCACCAAGTTTGCGACCGGCGTGATAAAAGAGACGCAAATATCAAGTGGTTATGGACCGCTAAATCTTCACGACTGCCACTGAAGGTGCTGTGGAATCATGCCCTGCAAATCCAGACAGGGCCAGGAACTCCGATTTGTAATGCTAGTACTTGCATTGACCCACAGGCAGGCCTCAGAGAAATTTTTCCTCAATTCCGCATGAACACATGTTGATAACAAAAATTACTATACTTTTTTAATTCAATTAAACAAATAGAAGAATTTTTAATTCCCATCCAGAAGCTGTTTGACGTGAATCTCAAAAAAGTAGTTATCTAGCAGGAAAAGTCATATACCTTCTCCTACTATTTAATGTGAAGAGTATGGTTAAATGTAAGGCAGAACATTTTTTACAGGGAAATAATATATCCTCTTGCCAGACACACAGCGATCCTTAGTACATCTGAACCATAGCTATAGGTCTCTTAGACCTTTAGTATGTCTAGATGGGTGCCAACTAGTGAGAATCCATTAGTAAAATACCGAAGATTAGAGTTAATTATTTTAACAGAGATGTATTGCTTAGTTAAAATCAATTAAAATTTGTGCTTAATTTTTATATAAATTACTCCACCTTAGTCAAACAATAGACATTCTTTGAGAGCTTAAAGAAAACACTTATTTACAGCTCTCTGTAAAAAGAAAAAGATATTTAGATTAATATTTGAGAATGATGTGTCTGTGAACACGTCTATACAGATATATATATATATGTGCACATGCACAAAGCGCATTCACTTTAAATCCTGTCTGAAGGCCCTTCTACTTTCATCTCAAACACAAGTGCTGAAAAGATGGAAAAGTATTAAGACCAAATGTGAGGAAAACAACTGAAGACTCAGAAAGTTAGAACTGTTTTGTTGAGAATGGAAAAAAATTAAAGGTGGATTTAAAAGCCCAAATACTTGTAATTCTTGGCCTGATTCAAAGACAAAGCAATCAGTGAAGTTTAATTTGTCAAATGTAAAACTGATTACAAAAAAAAAAATTTTCGTCCAGCTCACAATTATCCCATAAAATGTGTTGTCAAAAGATTCTGAAGCTCTCATTCCTCAGAATACAATCCAGTCACTGATACATTCAGGTAAACAGATTATTTTATTATTTCTATTTGTTTGCTTCAGATTTATTTAAGAATTTTATTATATCTGTTAGGGGGATGCATTAAAGTATCTCAGGGCACCAAGACACTACTTCTGAGTACTTTGGTTTATTGCTTTAGCAGCACTGTGTAAAATAGCCTGTTGTATTATATTACTGTTGGGCTGTGCTACCAGTTACGTACATATTCATACACTTGATTATCAAGTTAATGTTTAAAAATTTTATTTGTGCATGGAACTTTGGGAGTGGTGAAGTGAAATTTTCAAGGCTAGATGAGGCCTTTTCATTAACAGCCTTGAAACCAATTAGTAAATTTGACCTAGACAGATAGACAAAAAGCAGGTAATGGTGATGATGGACCTGACTTTATCTGAGTGAGGATATAATCTTGATAAGCATTCCATACTCTTAAGTTGTTTGAATTTGTTGTAGTAGACTTCAAAGGGGAAGATTATGTAGAATTTTAGCTCATTTTTATTAAAGAGCTTTTCTAACTGGAAGGTTTTAGGAAGTCCTTTGAACAGTCATTTCACTTTAGGAAACATTTTATTTTATAATTTCCATCATGTAAAATTTGATTTTTGTTTCTCAATTTCATCATAGATGGGTTTTTTTGAATTGATAAGGCGTTTAAGCAGAAGAAAACTGATGACAAAGAACGAGAGATTTTGTAAGAAAGTTATTTGCATGTGTCATACAGAACCTTCCTCCTATTCAGAATCTTCTGTTGCTAGTTTGTTTGGCAAACATCTGCATACCTGCACGTGCCTCTAATGACCACTCCATTCTATTGAGTGTATACTTCTGCCTATGAAATGTGGCTCTCCCTCAGTGAAAGGCTATTTAGAGACACTTGGACTAGTGGGGTCCCCCAATATGCCAGTTCACAAAAAGAAAAATTCAGTCAAGGCCGACATAGACACAGCTGGGCCCTAAGTTTATCCTGATATTAGGCTGCACACTGCAGAGAAAAGAAGGTTAGCCAGTTGGTTGATTATGTTAAAACTGGGACAGAATGTTGGTTGCCGTATAGCCAGGCAATATACAAATCTGTCCTTCCTCCCTCCCTTCCCCGTGACCAAATACATATGCAAACCCAGGACATCTTGTCACTCTAGCCTCATACTGTCATACTGACTCATACTACCATCTTAGGCAATGTGAGCTTTAGGTCCACTCCTGTGCCTATTTCCTAGTGGACAACATTTTGAACCTAAAACAGTGGAGTTCACCTCATATTTCTTTGCCTTTTGCTGTATTCTTAGTAACCTATTTTATTGTGTTAAGCGTACATCTTGTTAGGAAGGTACTTTGCCTGAAAGCCGCTTTAATGGTGAAATATTAATAAACTGTGAAGGTTTTCTGAGATTTCATGTCCAATGGGCTTGATTTTGCAGATCAAAAAGATTCAGGATCCATTATGTCAGATCATAAAGGTATTCAGCATAAAGGTATTCTAAGTAGGAAATACTCATGTACAGATAATGAACACCACCATTTTCCAATCAGCTGAACATATAGGAAACCCTTGCTATGGCAAAAATGCAATGTATGATATCCCTAGAACATTCATTCTTTCATAACATCCCCTATGAAAATCTGATAGGAGACAGTGGTGCGGATTATGTTCTTGTCTTAAAAGAAGTTTCTAAACTTGATCTACAGCTTTTTTTTAATCCAAAGCAGTCTGAAGGTTTGCCAATGCTAGTATGTCAGGCAAGAATATCCTGGAAAACAATTTCTCTGGCTTCATTGATGTACAGGGGTCCTAAATTTGGCAGATCTAGCTTTGTAGACGCTATTGTATGGGGGGAAGCTTTAGTGTGGGGCTGCCATATGTACTGCTGCTTGCACCCTCAAACATAATATACCGGATCTGTGGCTAGAGAGTAGTTCTGTGGTTGCTTATACATTACTGAAGGCTGTTACCATCTGAAGCAGTCCTTTGGGATCAAATACAGCCAAGAGATTATTCTCCGCTCCAGTTTCTACCCTTTTCCAGACAGTTCCAGGGTAAGGAAAGCATCTTTTCCTCATACCGAGAATGACCTTCTTTACCCCAAGGGTCAGCATATAAACGGTTTCAGCATATTGATGGCAATTTCCTCTCACTATCACCTTACAAAAAAGTAGTTTAATATCCTTTCATGACAAAGTTGAAACTGTCTTATGCAAAGTTCTAGAAGCATGAGTATGAATCTTTAATTGACCCAGTTATCAAGACTGGAGATGGCAGGAGTTCAGAAACTCTGCTAACAAAGAGGTAGGGTGTCAAGGGATGTTTTACCCCTACCAGTTTCCTACTGAAAAGGCAAAGCCTAAGCGCTGTGAATGTGCAGGGGTTTGCATCTCCTCTGTGAAAGCTATGTGAGTAGTATCTAGAGTTAGCTTGCTGGAGAGAGCTCAAATGAATATAGAAAACATCCTAAAGCCAAACTAGACTTATGGTTATCTCTAAAGCAAATTCTGTTTCTTATCTCCGACTTAGATAACTTCTTTCTTCAATTTATTCTGCTAAAATGCAGAGCTTATCTCACATGTACTTAAAACCTGTATAGTGTCAAGAGTGATTTCGGGAGGAGTGGAAAACCTGGGATATTCTATTCCTCAGGAATGTTGATCTTAAAACAAGAATACTAGTTTATTCCATTACTGCAGTGTCAGCATTCCAGCGCAAGGGCATTCTGCATTCATCTGGGCTCTCTTGCATTATGCTTCTAGGGCCAGTGTGTAGATGGGGAATACAGGAGACTAACTTAGAGAAAAGTCTCCCCATAGCAGGAGTTAGTTAGAGATATTCACAACTGTTCGTGATGCCAGTAGGAGGTAAAAGAGGAGGCTGGAGAGTCAGATCTCCTTCCAAATATAAATGATTTTTTAAAAGTGCTTTTGCTGAAAATTAAGAATTCAAACTGCTTTTCATGCAGCTTGTATGCCAGAACATACAGTTGTCTCAGCTCAGTGGACCCTGAATACTATTTGTATTTCAGTTGATTGTTTTCAAAAACAGGCTGTGCTGTACTGAAAAATAAAGCATTCTGAAGCTATGCAAAAATTATCAAACGAAACACTAAGATTATTACACTGATAATGATTCTTTGTGGGATCGTATTTCAGCAATGTAGAGATTACTTCAGTTACCACTTTTGAGACTTCTGAAGATTGAAAAGCATTGATTTCTTTAAAGAAAAAAGATTCATGTCACTAGAGATATAGAAATTATTGTTAAACTAGCTTTCTATTTTTTCATGTCTAGAATACTTAGCAATTGAACCATTTAATTCATTTATGTTGCATCATTGCATAAGTTATTTTGCATGTCTCCTGAGCAACAGATCTGTGCAAATCACACCATTGTAATAATTAATTTCAGATGAAAAACAAGGTTCACCATTATTTCACAATTTAATTTGGCTTAAATAATTTCCTGTGAGTTGGACAGAATTTTAGGAAGTCAGTTCTTGCTTTAATTTATTTGCATCTGGTAAAAGTTTCCATCTCCATGCAGATATAGTGCCTACTAAATCTAACAAAATGTTATAACCGCAAGTATCAAGTATCAAAAAGGAAGAGTTTAATGAGCATATCTACTACTTCTTAAACTGGCCGATTTCAAAATAGCAAATTTTAAAGTTTTAGATTGGTTAGCTTATACCATACAATGCATAGCCAGAGGTAATGAATAATAAAAACAGTAAATAGATTATTCATTGTACATTCTACCAAGTATTGTTTCCAAAATGTGAATAAATGTCAAATCTGGAAAATGCAGGGTTTTAATTATGGCATCATTATGGAGACTAGCTAAAAGTGAAACGAACTTATAGCTACCTTCATATAAAGTAATATTCCAACAAATCAAAGCAGATCAGAAAACTAGGTTACAGATAGTATTAACAACATTGGAAATGTTCTGATTCCAACAGACGCATAATGGATTACAGCTTTCATGCAAACTGAAATTATAGTTCTAATTCTGCAGTCCTTAATTACACGAATAGTCTTTACACGTATAATTTCCCACTAAACTGAGCAATGGCTTGTATGAATACAGAGTCAGACTGTTCCCTTTAGGACCCAGAACTCAAATGTATGCTTATCTCTTTC